ACCACCAATGCCTCTACAATCTCCTCAGTTATCTCCCTCAGAACTCTGGGGTGCAGTCCATCCAGTTCGAGTGGTTTATCCATGTTCAGACCTTTTGCCTTACCCAGCATTTTCTCCTTAATGATGGCCACTATTCACACCTCTGTCCCCTGGCTCTCTTGCATTTCTGGTACACTACTAGTGTCTTTCACCATGAAGACTGATGCAAAGTGTCCAATTAGTTCCTCCACAATTTCTTTGTTCGCCATTTCTACTACTCCACAAAACTGGGTCCACAAAACCCATGACGGAACACAAGATTAAAAAGCAACTTGAACTTGTCCTCATCAATCTACCTGCTTCCAATTTATCTGTCCAAGAAAATATCAGTAGGAGAGACTGCCTTACAATCATTGTGGAGACAAATTCCTGTCTTTATATTGATGATACCCTCCATCATGTTGGATGGGACTACCATGACAGTGAATGGAAAGATTTTGAACAAATTTAGCAACTAAAAAGTGGGCATCCATTAGGCACTGTAACAGCAGTAACATCGCATTCAACCACAATCTGTAGCTTCATGGTCCTTCATATCCTCCATTGTAACAATATGATTAAGCCAGAATGTCGGTGCTGATTCAACAAAGAGTGCAGGAGGACATGCCAGGACCAGCACCAAGCATAACAAAAATGAGGAGTTAACCTGGTGAAGTTACAACACAAGACTATTTCCGCGCCAAAGAGCATGAGCAACAGTGGTAGGTAGAGCTAAGTGATTCCACAACCACGGATTAGATCTAAGCTCTGCAGACTTGTCATCTCAATCCAATTGAGCAACTGTTGAGAGGATGAAACCCCAGAAATATTCTCACTTTCAATGATGGGAGAGCCCAGTATGACAGCGCAAAAGGTAAGGCTGAATATTTGGAACTGTCTTTGACCAGAAGTGCCAAGTGGATGAAAAATCTTGGCCTCCTCCAAAGATCCCTAGCATCACAGATACTAGTATTCAACCAATTTAATTCACTCCAAGATATTGAAGAAATGTCTGGAGACACTGGATGCTACAAAGGCCCTAACAACATTCCAGCAATAGGGCTGAAGGCTTATGCTCCAGAACGTGCCATACCCCAAGCCAAGCTGTTCCAGTATGGCTACAACACTGACAACTCTGATAAGTACCTGGCAATTTGGAAAACTACCCTATTATATCCACAAGAAACGAGTCCCAGCCAGCCAGTCATCACCCGACAAGTCTATTCTTGATCATTGGCAAAATGATGAAAGGGAGCAGAATTTTGTGCAGAAATAATCTGCTCAATGATGCTCAGTTTCGGTTCTGCCAGGATCTCTCAGTTGTACCTCATTACAGCATGAATCCAATCATGGCCAAAAGAGCTGAATTCAAGAGGTGAGGTGGGAGTGACTGCCCTTGAAAATGAAGGAGTATTTGACTGAGTATGGCATGAAGGAGCCCCAGCAAAGTAGAACTCAATGGGAATCCAGAGGAAAGTTTAACACTGGTTATAGTCATATCTGGCACAAAAGTTATTGTTGTTGTGGATTAATCATGTCAGTTCCAAGATTTCACTGCAGGTCTTCCTCAGAGTCGTGTCCCAGGTCCAATCATCTTCATCTATTTTATAAATTATTTTTCTTTAATCATCTTGTCAGAAGTGGGGATGTTCACTAATGATTGCACAATGTTCAGCACAATTTGTGATGCCTCAGATACTGAAGCATCCTTTGTTCATTTGCTGTAAGACCTGGAAGACATACAAGCACTTGTAGTTAGCTAGACCCTATGCTCTGGCATATCCTCCCTACTCCTCTGAATGTTTCTTTTTGACTGTAAGACACTCCTTAATCAAACTCTTAGTCATAGGATCTGACATCTCCTTACTTGACTTGATGCAATAATTTGTCAGATAGTGCTTCAACTTAGGATGTTTTATTATTTTAAAATATTATGCTGTACTCATTGTTGAGCCAAATTGAGAAAATTTCAAATTTACAAAATTTGTGGAAGTTCATGCAAAATTTTTATCAGTTCTCCTAACTGTAGGCATTGTTGTTGACATCTTCCATCACTTTACTGATGATTGAGAGTAGACAGATCAGGCAGAAAGTAGCCAGGTTGGATTTGTCCTCTTTTTTGTGTACAGGACATACCTGGGCACCTGGGCAATTTTCCACATTGTTGGGTAGGTGCCAGAGTTGTAATTGTATTGGAACAGTTTGGTTAGGGTGTGGCTAGTTCTGGAGCACAAGTATTCAGTACAATTGCTGAAATGTTGTCAGGACCCATAACCAATGCCTCTGATCATGCCTTAATATCACATAGAGTGAACTGAATTGGCTGAAGATTGGTATCTGTGATGCTGGGAACTGCTGGAGGAGACTGATTTGCACTCGGCACTTCTGGCTAAAGATTGCTGCGAATGTTTCAGTCTTATCTTTTGCACTGATGTGCTGGGCTCTTCCATCATTGAGGGTGGGGATATTTGTGGAACTTCCTGCCCCCAGTTGTTTAGTTGTTCACCACCATTCATGACTAGATGTAGCTGGACTATGGAGCTTAAATCTAACCCACTGGCTATAGGATCACTTAGCTTTGTGTATCACTTGCTACTTATGCTGTTTAACATGTAACAAGTTCTGTTTGGTAGCTTCACCGGGTTGACATCTCATTTTTCAGTATGCCTGGTGTTTCTCCTGGCATGCCCTCCTGCACTTTCTGTTGAACCAGTGTTGATATCCTGTCTTGCTGGAAGTGGTTGAGTGGATGATATGCTATGCCATGTGACTTCATCTCCACAAGGACACTGCAGTGGTCACTCTTATCAATTCTGTTGTGGACAGATGCATCTGCAGCTGGCAGTTTGGCAAGGATGAGGTCAAGTATGTTTTTCCTCTTTTATTGGTTTCCTCACAAAGACAGAAGTCAGGTTATAATCCAACAGGTTTATTTGAAATCACAAGCTTTTGGAGTGCTGCTCTTTTATCTACTGAAGTAGAAGGAAGCACACGTGCACAGAATATACGGGCAGAGATATCAGGATTGTAACTGTACTGGAACATCCTGGTTTGGGAGTGGCAAGCTCTGGACCACAAGTATGCAGTACTATTGCTGGAATGTTGTCAAGGTCCATAACCTTTGCAGTATCCAGTGCTTCTACCTATATATTCTGCATTTGTGTGCTTCCCTCCACTTCACTGAACCCAGATCCCCAGAACATTACCTGGATCCCTGGATTAAGATCATACAATCCCTACAGAAACAGGCCCTTTGGCCCAACAAGTCCACACTGACCCTCAGAGCATCCCACCCAGACCCATCCACCTAATCTACACATCCCTGAACACTATGGGCAATTTAGCATGGCCAATCCACCTAGCCTGCACATCTTTGGACTGTGGGAGGAAACTAGAGCACCTGGAGGAAGTCCACGCAGACACGGGGAGAATGTGCAAACTCCACACAGACAGTTGCCTGAGGGTGGAATTGAACCCAGGTCCCTGGCATTGTGAGGCAGCAGTGCTAACCACTGAGCCACCGTGCCGTGATAATGCCACAAAGACATTGCCTCCCCTCATATGATACCTTGCCTTAAACTAGGGGAACAAATCTTCCCATAGTACTGCAGATGTGGTCTCACCAGCACCATGTACAGTTGCAGTCAGACTTCCCTACTCTTAGACTTCAACACCCTTAAAGTAATTGCCAACATGCCATTAACCTTCCTGATTATCCGCTTGACCTGCGTGCTAGTTTTATGTTTCATACAACAGTATCGCCAAGTCTCTTTATTTTGCAGCTTTCTGCAGTTTTTCTCAATTTAAATAATACTCTGCTCTTTTATTTTTCCTTCCAAAATAAACAACATCACATTCTCCCACAGGATTCACTAAATTTCTTATAATTATTAATGGCTTGTAATTAAAATTTGTCAGTGATAGCAGAATTGTAAAAAAAGCTCCAAAAATCCTGAACAGACGTGCCAAGCAATTACATTAATGAATTGGTTGAATTATGCTATCTTAAACATGAAATATATGGTCATTGTGCATTTTTATTTAGTTTATATTAAATCCCCAATAAATGATGTGGAGCTAAAACAGTCAAGCTAAATTGCATGTAACAATGGGCAAAATAAGTCAAGTTTGAAAATCAACCATATTTCATTCTGTTAAGAAAATTTAGGGGTACATTTCAAGAGCAATGTTTTTATAATTGTTTACAAAGAAAGATTTGCCAAGTTTGAAAAATAGTTGTAGGATTAATTTTTCAAGGTGTAAAAGAGACTATTATTCTAATGAATTTGAAGAAACGCAAAGTTAAAATTTTTTCAATACTGACTGTCTCAGAGAATGGGAATGCAAATTAAGTACATGTTGAGAAGAACAATCTATATCATTTTCATTCAGGATTCTATTATATTTGAAACTTGGTCAGCCTTGATTTCTGCAGCAAGTCTTTGGTAGGAATAAAAACAAAATGCTGGAGAAACTCAGCAGGTCTGGCAGCATCTGTGGAGAGAGAAACAGAGTTAATGATTCATGTCTGATATGATTTTTCAGAACTGAAAGAGGCTGAAAAGTTTTTTTTTGCTGTTGACAGAGGGCAAGAAAGAACAGGTGGAACAGGTGGTGAGGGTGCCCTGAGTAAAAAAAGAACAAGTTTTAATTCCAGTAAGCACATGCACAAAACACAACCTGACTCCACTCTAATCCTGTGAAAATGAGAAGTGCCATGTTTGGAGATTGACTTTGCTTTCCTGCCTTTTCCTCCATTTATCCTGCCTCTCTGACATGGCAAAAATCTGGGCCTAAGGGTTTTCTTAGTACTTGTGAAGAGCAGAATTATAAGACAAAAGAAAATCTATGGAACCGGTTTCACCAAAATATTTAAGGTACATAGATATGTGGGAAAGATTATCCACCGTGACTTAGCAAAATATTGTTTGCACAAGCGTAACAAGAATGTTGGTAACATGAGTAATGGAATCTTCTTTCAGAAATGACAGTTTTAAAAAGACCTGGATTTTTCATATCACCTTCATATACAGAGAAAGATGAGAATACAGAAGGTAACCCTATTGTTTTACTTGTCCAATAACAATTGGATTTCACATGAATACAAATGTTCCTTATCGTCCATTGATGAAAATAGTAATCATTTATGTTTTAAAATATTTCTAGAATTTGCACAAATTTACCTAAGTTTCACATAGATATGAGAAAACCAATGACAATCAACTTCTATGACTGAGTGCTGGGGTATGTGCCAGTGCAATACAGATTCATATGCAGCACAAAACCCCAACTACAACATTTGAGCCGAGTTTGTTTATCCAGGCTAAAGCAGCTGTTGTCCACAAGAATTTGCTTTGTGCTATTGAACTATGGAAGACAATAACAGTTCCCACTCCCCAAAGCTCAATTAGAAAAAAATGTATACGATGTTGTATAAGTGCATGGTTATGCTGCCCATGAGTGAATAGTCTAATTATACTACGCTCCAACATCTCAAGTGGCTTTTCATGAAATGCTGTACAATTTTCTAACATAATTTACTTGCTCTTTATTGTTTGAAATGGTTCAAGCTTTAAAAACACTAGTCATAACTCACATCTTTCAGCAGCATAATTTCATGATAAAATTTTGTAAAAATGTCAAAACTCACAATCAGTTGCCAGATGAAAGGAGCTTGATTAAAATCTCAGGTTGAACCTTTGACAGAATATTGATAATATGTTATTTATATTTTCATTACCTAATTCCATATTACATTTTCAATACTTCCTAATTTTATTCTTGAGTATCAGAATTCAGAGTTCTGCTGCTTTATTACTACTGACTGTTTGTGAACCTTCTCTAAAAGCAAAAGCAATCAATTCACACCACTGCTCGAGAAGGACAAGGCAGAATATCACATTTGTGAATAAATCAATATGCTATCATCTATTGAAAATTTTGATTATATCCAACTAGTTATTCATTTATAATATAATGATTTATTTTTACATTATTTGAGCCATTTGAAAACGTTCTAAATGTCTTTCAAAGTTAAGTACTTGATTATTAGTGTCAGTCTTAATTGGTTATTTTATCAGTACAGATATGAATTGAGCTTATATTTGTATCCTTTATACACAGGTTTACAGTTTCCTGTGGATAATGATATAATGACCTATTTTCCTGCATCTGAGCTGCCAGGTTATGGGGAAATTAAAAAAACCATTGGCTGTATACAATCACATGCTAACAACACAGGATACCCGGAACAATGTATAAGTTCTCTGTCAGGTTGAAGAACTTTCATAGCAATAATGTTTATGCTCAGAGTTAAACAGGATCAATGAAATATATAGCAACACTATATGTTTCATAAATCATCAATAACAGACATTTCATGGTTGTATAGCAAAATAATATATATCTATATCTTTACATAAAGTTATGTGTAATTAAATGAGCATGCTATTTTGAGAGACATCATTGTAAATTGCAAAAAGACTCTTAAAAATGTAAGTTTGCTATTAGAAAAAAAAAGCTGGTCATATTTTTGGTAAAGCTATGGAATGATACTATGAAATTTCCACTACAAGTTTATGATGTTGAATACTTGTGTATATTTCGCTTGGAATGATCTGATAATTTTTCTGATCATGCTTTAGTGTCTTTAGCATTGAAATCAAATTTGATTTCAAACTTCAACATTGTCTTGCAAAATATTTTAAATAAATCGGTAAGAAATATTAAACTAATACCTTGCACATCAAAATCTGATGCTAATCAGAGCTCAACTGTCTTAATTTAATCTATTTCAAATAATTTTAATGATCATATGCTAACTTAGGCACAGTACATGGTAATTAAATCTGTTGCATGAATATCTTTCTGAAAGCCAATTGTAAAATGTATACAGTCCTGTTATATTTTAACAGTCAAGAAATTAAAGTATTACTTTCGGAAAATGACAATTCTCCTGATCTTTGCAAGCATTGTTGATGCAATTTGGTCTTGTGGATAGCCTGTGTTAATTATCCTTTAACATAGAAGATGTTTCAGGATACATTCGCACAATAATTGCAGCATCAACACAATGTGTTCACTTAGCAATGATGCTGCAGTTATAGTGTAAATGCACTCTGAATCTGGAGGCAGAGCACAAACCAACACTGGAGTCATCCACAGAAGTGTAAGATATAGAAACGTGGGACTTAAGAGCAGAATTAGTTCATTTGGTGATGTCAACCTGCACTGTCATTCAATAATGTGATGGCATATCTAGTCATGATCCCAATCCCACTTTCCTATCTGCCTTTTACCCCCACCGCTTTGACTCCCTTTTCTTTCAAAAAATTATCTAACTCTGCATTCCATAAATTCAATGACAAAGCCTTCACTACTTTCTAGGGAAGAGAATTCCAAGGACACTCTGGGAGGAAAAGATTCTACTCATCTCTTATTCTTAAACTGTGACCCCAAATTCTAGGCTCCTGCAAAAGAGGAGTACTCCCACTACTCACCCAATAAACTCCCCTCATGGTCATTTATGTTTCAATAAAGTCGCCTCTCATTCTTCCGAGGTCCCATGGAAATGGTTGAATCTATCCAACCTTTCCTCATGAGATAACCCTTCATCCCAGGAATTAGTCAACTAAACTTTCTTTGAATGATTTCTAACACAAGCATGTGCTTTTTCAGTACAATGCCCCAATTTTTATATTCCATTGTCCTTGCAATAAAAGCCAACATTCCATTTGTCCTCCTGATAACTGAATGTACAAACGTATTAACTTTTTGGATTCATGTACCCATGTATACCCAGATTGCTCTGTATCACAGAGTTCTGTAATCGCTTTCCATTTAAATAGTAAATTTGTTTTTTTTATTCTTCCAGCCAAAGTGAATAAGTTCATATTTTCCTACATTATATTCCAATTTTTTTAGCCACTCACTGAAACTATCTGTCTCCCTTTGAAAACACTCCATCTCTTCTTGACAACTTACAGTCCTAACTATCTTGGTATCATCAGGACATTCAGCTACCATTCTCTCAGCCCCTGCATCCATTTCATTGATATAGATTGTAAATAATTGAGACCCTGACATAGAACTCTGTAGGACTCTACAGTCTGCTAATCACCCACTGTTGTTCAGAGATGTTTCAGGCCTTGATATCCATTTTACAAGATTATTACCACTGCGAAGTCAAAAGAACTTTGCATTTAATGTTAACCAGCAGTGTAACTGCGCCATTAAATAAACTGAAAAATGGTTTCAACTATGAAGTGATTCAGGTAATGACACTTACTCTGCATATTTAAGTAATACAAATGCTTTTTTCCTTATTGTTTCAATTGCAAATAAAACATAATGGTTTCATAGGGAGAATGTTTTATTTAAATAAATGGATCTTAATAGTTTATTCTGTTAAAATGTGTTATTTGAAAATATGCCTGAAAATTGGTTTTAAATTGGATGAGAATATTACCAAGATTTTCAAGTTATCTTTCTTACTATGTGAGTTGTTTTTTAAAGCATTTTCCTGCTGTTTAACATGAAATCCATCTAAAGCAAAAGTGGAGCCAAAATATTCTGTATTCCTTTTGTACAGATATTTTCAATTAATTTATAGATTGCAACTCTATTATTAATTCTTTTCCCGAAAGCTTACTGGTGCCAATTATCTGTTTTCAGCCTCATTTGTTATTTCCTCTATGACTCCCCATTTGTCGTATCTTCCCTCTTGCCAAAAGGTGTTACCTTCTGAGAACCCTGGAAGTTATTTTTAAGCCAAGGTCAAGCACTCCATCCAGGAATCTCCCTTTTCTGTGCATGAAGTTGGGGGGAACCAAAAACAAATGAATCTCAGGTTTCACAGATGGCACAACTGATACATCATTGCAAATACAAGTGTCTATTCACGAATTCATTGCTATTTAAGTACAACACTGCATAGCTTGCCAGCTCTTAGCCTCATCCTATCTTAGAACCCTGAATACAGCAATGTTACCCTTTCCCCAATGCCCAGTAAGGCCCTACATCTTCCCCTTGTTTAATGTGGACCATCACATACTGTAAAGCCATCAAACAGTTGCAAACATTCAATTTTACTCAATAATAGCAAAAACAAATAATAAACAAACAAAAGCTGCTGGGAAAAGATAGGACTCCTGCTTTTCATTCATCAACAAATTTATAGTCAATGAATATGAATGAGTAGTCACTGCACCTAACTCTCATCTCCTGGAACCGGGTATTAATTAAGTCTAGTATGGCTTGTTGCATTTGATGCTGCAGCATTCCATTATGCAGAAGATGATGCTCTTTCTCCTCAATGTCTTCATCTTCCTCCTCAAAAGTCTCTGAGCTGGTTGAAGGTGAAAACTTTGCTGATGCATTCTCTCTGAGGGTTCAGTGGCTTCTTCCTCAGGAGGTGGAGATGGAGCTGAGGGTCCCCAGTGTTGGCCCCTTTAAGGTAGAATTTTGCTGGGCGCTGCTAATGTTTGCATAAGAAATGAGAAATAATTAGTTGTCAAAGAGGTTTAGAAGCTTTTGAAAGTTAAGAATGAGGTAGCGCTGGTCATAGTAGGAGAGTAACACAACCCAGTGAAATTGAGCTGTCTTGGTTGATTGCACACTGAGATCACCCCAACCTTCCGTGATTGGTCATGTTCTTCTCTGGACAGCTCAAGAATTTTCTTATGGCATGAAGTGCCTTATGTCTGCCAACCACCTCCCCCTCCACTCCTAGTCTTGGTCCTTACAGCCTGAATGTGGTGTACATCTTCTTTCAAAAGTACAAAGGAAAGGACTGAGTACGTTGGAAGTGAATGGAAGACCCATTGTCGGTGATGCAGAAGCAGGAAAGATGGTGAGGTGTCCCCAGTGAGTGAGTGTGAAGTGTTAAGGACAGGAGAAGTTTGCAGTTCAGGGTGCTGAGATGAGTGAGAGCCATTGAGTGGACATGATGCATGCAATCGTGAATTATAGTCAGTGGGCCTTGGTGAGAAGTTTGTATAGTGTGAGAGTTAGAGTGAGTGGTAACCCTGTGACTGTTGAGGTAGCAGTGAAAAGATGCAAGTGCTTACCTGTATTGGAAATGAAATTGGAAAATTCAGCCCAATGTTACCATTAAATGAATATATTGAAAAACTGACTGACTATCTAGGCAAGCTAAGCAGGATACACAAACCCAAAAGCCATTTTTTTAATTTAAAGGTGTTTTAGAATTTTAATTCATGATATTAGCCTGGATTTTACAGTAGAATCAAAAGGTGCATCTATCAGCACTCACTAATTGAAAAGTATTTTGGGCAGCAACTTCTGCCGAACACAAATGTGCAGTTAAACACAGACATCAGGAAGTTGTTGTCTGTTGACCTACTCCTCCAGAAGCTTTACTATATCAGCACATTGTCAAGAGAAACTGCATTAAATAATGTAGTGACATTGTTGTACGTATAAAATAGATATCCTCTAAGTTCACCCGAAATTTCAGGGCTTGTCCATTCTAGTGTAAGTAAATGCTTAGCAGAGAGATCAGTCTCAATCATTTTCAAACATCCACTCTTGTACAGAAATTAATTTTTTAAAAAATTGTAAAATCCCATCCTGAAATTTACAATTGTTGTTGGAGAGTTTTTTTAAAAAATAAATAAATATTTAAGCTGGGATAGTAGGAACTGCAGATGCTGGAGAATCCGAGACAACAAGGTGCAGGGCTGGATGAACCCT